AGTAGTCAGCTGTGAAAAGGGACAAACACTGACACATGCTGCAGCAGGGATGAACCCTGAATATATTAAGCTAAGTTAAAGAAGCTTGTCACAAAAGGCCAGATATTGGATGATTCCATTTGTGTGAAACATCCAGAATAGGCAAATTCATCAAGACAGAAAGCAGATTAGATGTTACTAGGAATGGGTGTTGGGAGAAATGGGAGTGATTACTTAATGGGTATGGGGTTTCTTTTTGGGGGTGATGGAAAAATCTTGAAACTAGAGACAGCTAGTGGTTACACAATATTTTGAATGTACTAAATGCTGCTGAACTGGTAATTCAAAATGAACACAATGGGTAATTTTATGTTACATAAATTTCACTTCAATAAAAAGAAATTATTAGCTTTAAAAAAGTGGATAGTTGGGGCTAGGTCACGAAGGGGTTGAAAGCCAAGCAGAAGAATTTGTGCTTTATTCTCTAGGTAATAAGGAGCCATGGAAGCTTATTCAAGTGATGCCAGAGTTGAGCCTCACTGGGAGAGCAGAGGTGAGGAGAGACAGTGGAGCCAGGCGGGCGGCCAGGAAGCCACTGCCGCAGCCCAGTGTGGGCCTGGCCTGGCCCCCAGCAACAGAGGGAAGGAAAGACGTCCAGGAAGCGTTTCAGAAGCAGGAGGTCTTGGCAACCGATTGGGTATGAGCAACAAAGAAAGCAGGAGTCATTTGATTTTGAGGCATTGAACTGAGGTCTGGGGAAAGGGGGATTCACAGGAGAAGGAGCTCCTTCCGCTTTGGAGGTATCAAAAAAGAGGAGAGGGGCCGGGTGTGGTGGCTCACGCCTGTAATCCCAGCACTTTGGGAGGCTGAGGCTGAAGGACCACTTGAGCCCAGGAGTTCAAGACCAGCCTAATCAAGAGCAAGACCCTGTCTCTACAAAAAAAATTTAAAAATTAGCCAGGTGTGGTGGTGTGCACCTGTAGTCCCAGCTACTCAGGAGGCTGAGGCAGGAGGATCGCTTGAGCCCAGAAGTTCGAGGCTACAGTGAGCTATGATTGCACCACTGCACTGTAGCTGGGGCAACAGAACGAGATCCTGTCTCAAAAAGAAAATGAAGATGAGTTCAGTGAAGCAAGCCGTCCTGGGTCAGATTGGCTGAGACCTAAAGTCAGCGGAATGGGAGCCCATTGCTTGTTCCCACAATTAGCAGGACGTGACTTGTTGACCAGCCAAGAAAACTGTTCCTCCAGGCAAATGACCAAGGACCTGTGGTCTCGCATGCAAGCCAAGGTTGTCTGTTATCCAGACATGGTGACAGAGAGAATGTAAACATCTTCGAAGGGCATCTCTGGTGCTTTGACTGGAGAAGCAGGTGTTGTTGGCCGTGGGAAGTCACGTACCAAAAAGTGACTAGGAAAATAGCTGTCATGAGAAAATAGCTGCGGGACACTTGCCCAATTAAACTGTATAAAAATAAAACGACTGGTGCTTTAAGGTGCTGCAGTCTTCAACCGTCTTTGTGTCTGTGTACTTTATTTTTCTGGGACTGCAGCCAACTCTGGCCGTCTGCGTCTTATGTCTATGTCTTTATGTGTGTCATCCCCTGTCCTGCAAGCGGGCCACGACAGTTCAGTTCAGTTTTAAGCCCACAGGTTTGGTTAGGGGATCTAACAAAAAACTCTCCAAGCAGAAACCATGTCCTGGCTTGGGGGAGTGACTCAGATTCTTCAAGTCCCACCGAGTCCCTGCTGTTGTCCCCAGAAGAAGAGCCCCCATGTCAGGCTCCACGATCTCCTCAGCTGAAGATATGAAGCCAAGTGCAGGCACCTGTCTTCGTGGCTGCTCAGTGGACATGGCCACCTGCTTCACCCAGCACAGAGTCAAGAGTGCTTGAAATACAGGTCCCAGTTTCACTGCAGGGGTACCTACCTGTTACTGCTATTCCCACAGCATTTTGGGGACTGTCACGCAGCACAGAGGTGTGTGCTTCCTTCAAGAAAACACAGACACGAGGCCAGAGTCACAGAGAGAGGTTAGCGCTACAGACTCAGAATTGGGGATCACTTCTTGAAAGATGATTGTTGAAGTCAGAATGGAGGAGATGCAGAGAACACTGTGCAGAGGAGGAGAGCCAGGGGCCTTGGGGACACAGAGGAAGGGGACAGAGAGAGAGAGAGAGAGCTAGAGAAGGACTCATAGAAGGAGCTGGAAAAGGAGGGGTCAGCGCGAGAGGGGAGGACCAAAGGAGTGCTGTGCCAAGAAAGAAGATCCTCCCAGAAAAAAGAGATGTTCAGCTGTCCAAGAGTACCGAGAAAGGAAGGAGAATGAGGTTGAGAAGGCTGGGTTTTGGTGACCCTGAGTCACATTCAAAGGACAGTTTCATAAAGCAGCAAGGGAACCGGATTGCAGCGACTTAGAACGTAAGCAGGGGATGAGGGGGCTGTGATTGGCCCCTTGCAGGAGCAGCCAGTGAGGATGGAGTCAGGGGATCGAGGTAGTTCAATATCAGGGAAGGGGGAGAGAGAGAATCACTGATCGAAGCTCAAGAGAGGAACGAGCGCCCATGGAGGCGTCCAGTGGCTTCGCTGGCCAGCACGCTGCCCGTCTGCATGCTGCATGCCTACCCGTCTGCACGCTGCATGCCTGCCCATCTGTACACTGCTTGTCTGCACGCTGCCTGTCTGCATGTCTGGACGCAGCCCGTCTGCACGCTGCACACTGCCCATCTGCACACTGCACACTGCCCATCTGCACACTGCACGTCTGCATGCTGCTTGTCTGCACATCTGCATGCTGCATGTCTGCACACTGCCCTTCTGCCTGTCTGCACTCTGCCCGTCTGCACACTGGCCATCTGCCCGTCTGCATGCCACCCATCTGCACACTGCAGTCTGCCCATCTGCATGCTGCCCATCTGCCTGTCTGCATGCTGCCCATCTGCACGCTGCATGCCGCCCATCTGCACGCTGCACTCTGCCCATCTGCATGCTGCCCATCTGCCCGTCTGCATGCTGCCCATCTGCCCGTCTGCATGCTGCCCATCTGCCCGTCTGCATGCTGCCCATCTGCCCGTCTGCATGCCGCCCATCTGCCCGTCTGCATGCCGCCCATGCCCTGCCCGTCTGCATGCTGCACTCTGCCCGTCTGCATGCTGCCCATCTGCCCGTCTGCATGCCGCCCATCTGCCCGTCTGCATGCTGCACTCTGCCTGTCTGCATGCCGCCCATCTGCACGCTGCAGTCTGCCCATCTGCCTGTCTGCATGCTGCCCATCTGCCTGTCTGCATGCTGCACTCTGCCCGTCTGCATGCTGCCCATCTGCCTGTCTGCATGCCGCCCGTCTGCACGCTGCAGTCTGCCCATCTGCCTGTCTGCATGCTGCCCATCTGCCTGTCTGCATGCTGCCCATCTGCCTGTCTGCATGCTGCCCATCTGCCTGTCTGCATGCCGCCCATCTGCCCATCTGCATGCTGCACTCTGCCCGTCTGCATGCTGCCCATCTGCCTGTCTGCATGCCGCCCATCTGCCCATCTGCATGCTGCCCATCTGCCTGTCTGCATGCCGCCCGTCTGCACGCTGCACTCTGCCTGTCTGCATGCCGCCCATCTGCACGCTGCACTCTGCCTGTCTGCATGCCGCCCATCTGCCCATCTGCATGCTGCACTCTGCCCGTCTGCACGCTGCACTCTGCCCGTCTGCACGCTGCACTCTGCCCGTCTGCATGCCGCCCATCTGCCCGTCTGCATGCTGCACTCTGCCTGTCTGCACACTGCCCATCTGCCTGTCTGCACGCTGCCCATCTGCCTGTCTGCACGCTGCACTCTGCCTGTCTGCACGCTGCACTCTGCCCGTCTGCATGCTGCCCATCTGCCCGTCTGCATGCTGCACTCTGCCTGTCTGCACGCTGCCCATCTGCCTGTCTGCACGCTGCCCATCTGCCTGTCTGCACGCTGCACTCTGCCCGTCTGCATGCTGCACTCTGCCCGTCTGCATGCTGCACTCTGCCCGTCTGCACGCTGCCCATCTGCCTGTCTGCACGCTGCACTCTGCCCGTCTGCATGCTGCCCATCTGCCTGTCTGCACGCTGCACTCTGCCCGTCTGCATGCTGCCCATCTGCCTGTCTGCATGCCGCCCGTCTGCATGCTGCACTCTGCCCGTCTGCATGCTGCCCATCTGCCCGTCTGCATGCCGCCCATCTGCCCGTCTGCATGCCGCCCATCTGCCTGTCTGCATGCTGCCCATCTGCCCGTCTGCATGCTGCATGCCTCACGCCGGGGGAGGGAGCTGCAGGAAAGGGAGCACGGAGCTTCCCCCAGTCCTGGAGGACAGGCTGGGCTTAGCCTAGGCCTGCAACTGCCCCTCCGAAAGGCAGTTTGAGGAAGAACAAGGGTGAAGAGTAAAGAGTTTTTAAGGAGGAGTAGAGGATATTCATTAGTCTGAGTTCCCCCAGAACAGAGCCTGAGGCAAGGACTTGGGTGCCATTGGTGGGTCCCAGCTTGTGACTGAGCGAGTCAGTGCTGTGGGCAGTGAGGGAGCAGTCCCGCTGGGGACTTGAGTCTTTGTGGGATGTGCCTCGGAAAGGGGTGTGTCCGTCCATCACCCTCACTCCTACTCATGGGGCGGGGCTTGCTCCTGTGGGTAGCCCTGCGGAAAAGCCTGTCACAGAGGCTCTGCTGCAGGGGACTTGTCCACGGGGACCTTGGGCGGCCTGGTGCGTGGCGGGTGAGGGCCGGCCAGGCTCTTTGGCACGTGTCTGGGGCAGGAGAGAGCGCATAGCCTCGTCCAGATTCGGCCCCTTGGGAACCTGCGGGCTGCATACCCCTAAACATGCTCCTGCGGGGAAGGCGAGAGGCGAAAACAGGCCGGTTATCAAGTGCGGCCAGAGTTTATTTCTGGGAGAAAAAATCAGGGGATTGAGGGGAGACTTTTTTGTACTTTGAAATTCAAGAGGAGGATTCTGGGAAAACTTAGGATCTGCCCTTATATGGTTTCTGGAAAATGGAAATCTACAAGCGTATGTCTTGAGAGTTTTATTTGTTTATTTATTTTTGTCTTTCACCTGTGAGGCTTGGGAAGCAGAAGCCCACAGGTTCTGCTTCTGCACAGCACGTCCAGCTCCACACTGCATGGCCGCTGTCCAGGTGCTCGAGCACTGCTCCCTGCCAACCCTCACTAGGATGTGCTGATGTGGGGAGACTCACAACAGCCCGGGAGGGATTGCAGGAGGATGAGCCCAAGCCATTGCCTGGCACCCTTATGTCGTGGGAAGCTTAGAGTGCATAGGGCGCAGAAGGACGCGCTTCTCCTGCCGTGCCTCTGAGGCCAGGCACCGCGGCTATGCCCTCCTCACTGGCGCCACCTCGGCCCAGTGGCTGTTGCTGTTAGGATTCTGAGCACAATCGCTGTGTGGGACTGGGTGGAGGAACCTGGCTGAAACCCAGACATGAAGATGAGAAATGCATTAGTTTCTCATTACACCCCATATGCAGAAATATGATGACTAATGCATTATTCTACGCAGCAAGTTTGTAGTCTTGTCTAAACAAATTTGGTTAATTTAACATGATTTATTAAGAGGGAATATGCCACCTCATACATCTCATGATGTTCTTGTCAAGGTGATTATGGAATAGATTACTTGCTTTCTCAGTTACTAATGTTAAATTAATTCCTAGGTTTTTTTCCTCTCCTTTCCTTCATTCTCCTTCTTAAACACCTTTTCTTCCTTTCTTTGTTTCCTTTTCTTTTCCTTCCTTCCTCCTTTCCTTTCCTTTTTCTTTCCTTTCCTTTCCTTTCTTTCCTTCTTTCCTTTCCTTTCCTTTCCTTTGCTTCCTTCCCTTCCCTTCCCTTCCCTTCCCTTCCCTTCCCTTTCCTTTCTATCTTTTCTTTCTTTCTTAAATTTATGCTGTAAAATTTCAGTCAGATAAATTTATGATCCTGGCTCCCAAGCTTCCATTTTACAGGTCCTTTATAATTTTACTCCTAATGATTTCAAATACATCAATAAATAAGCAAGATGCAGCAGAAACCTATTAGGACTCTGGGATAGCTAAGTGCCATCACAGGCCTTGGTGTCCCACGGACGCCTTTGTGCTGCGGGGCAGTGCGTGAAGCTGTAGACCGTGGCAGGTGCCACCGGGGTTTCAATCTGTACCTGAAAATGAGAAAAATGGATTAGATCATTTCAAATATGTGTACATCTAAAGTGGTTAAACATATTAATATCATTGGGTGATGACAGTGATGCAATTTCTGTTTCTGATTTGGAAGAAGGCTATTGTGTTAGTTCATTTTGTGCTGCTATCAAGGAAATACATGCGGCTGGGTAATTCATAAAAAGAAGGGGTTTATTTGGCTCAGTTCTGCAGACTGTACAAGAAGCATCACATCAGCATCTGCTTCTGGTAAGGGCTTCAGGGAGCTTCCAGGCAAGGCAGAAGGGGAAGGGGAAGTAGGCGTGTCACCTGGCAGGTGAGTGGAGCAAGAGAAGGAGGAGGTGCCTTTAAATAACCAGCCCTCAAGAACTAATAATGTGAGAAGTGGCCCAATAACATGGGGAGGGCACCAAGGCACTCAGGGGATCCACCCCCATGGCCCAAACACCTCCCACCAGGTCCCACCTCCAACACTGAGGTTTAGATTCAACATGAGATTTGGAGGGGACAGACATGTAAACTGTATCACATGTAGTAATAGTGAGTTTAGGGGAAAGTGTTTTCCCAAAACAAGCCTCTCAGGAAAAAGAAGTACAGTTCTGTCTGAGAGATGACACTTAGTTTGAACATCAGCAGGAAATGTGAGTTGGCCAGAAAAGGAACAACTTTCAGTGAGACAGTGATCCAGAGAAAAGCCCCACACCTAGCTTGCTCAGGCTCAGAGAAAGAGGGGACAGTGGCCTGAAGCTTTCTGACCCATGAAGCACTCACTGTAATAAGAGGAAATCAGTGACTCTTTTTGCAGTATCCTAGTTTAAGGACAGAAACTATACAGCCACACAAGATCACAGATCCCCTGCCATCCTCTCTGTTCCTTGTTCCTGTTAATAATTATAGCTAGCACTTATAGCCTTATTATATATCGCTCATTAGTATAGGTTTTTCACATATTTTCTCATTTACTCCTCATCACACCCCAATGAAATCAGTACTCTTAATATTCCCATTTTAGAGACAAGGAAATTGAGGGACAGAAAAGCTAAGTGACTCAACCAAAGCCATACCGCTAGTAAGTGGGGATTCAAACCCAGGTAGTGGGGCTGAGTCGGAGCTTGCAGGGCATGCTGTCTCTGGCAGAGGGGGCAACAGTCTGTTGAGGTTGTGCTGTGGGGGCGGCTGACACTCTGAGAGAAGGCCCTGCGCAGTGCGCGTGCGCGGAATAGAAGCTTCACTGACTAAGAATCCTTTGGTGCCTCCTGGGCAGAGCCTGCAGCAGGTCTCTCCAGCTTTGATGGCCTTGACCTGGAGGTTTTTAAAACATTCCCCTGGGTGATTAATTAATTAATTAATTAATTTTAGAGATAGTGACTCTCTCCATTGCCCAGGTTGGGGTGCAGTGGTACCATCACAGCTCACTGCAACCTCCAACTCCTGAGCTCAATCAATCCTCCTGCCTCAGGCTTCTGAGTAGCTGGTATCATAGGTGTGCACCACAACCCTCTGCTAATTTAAAAAAAATTTTTTTTAGGCCAGGCACAGTGGTTCACGCCTGTAATCCTAGCACTCTGGGAGGCCGAGGCGGGCAGGATTGGTCAAGGTCAGGAGTTCAAAACCAGCCTGAGCAAGAGCGAGACCCTGTCTCTACTATAAGTAGAAAGAAATTAATTGGCCAACTAAAAATATATAGAAAAAATCAGCTGGGCATGGTGGCACGTGCCTGTAGTCCCAGCTACTTAGGAAGCTGAGGCAGAAGGATTGCTTGAGCCCAGTAGTTTGAGACTGCTGTGAGCTAGGCTGACACCACGGCACTCTAACTGGGGCAACAGAGTGAGACTCTGTCTCAAAAAAAAAAATTTTTTTTTAAGAGATGGGATCTTGCTGTGTTGCCCAGGGTGGTCTTGAACTTCTGGCCTCAAGCAATCCTCCCACCTCCACTTCCCAAAGTACTGGGATTACAGGTGTGAGCCACCACACCCTGCCTCGCCTGGGCGACTTTAACACATCACCTGTGGAAATCATGAATCTAGGCCGGCCTTTAGCAGTTAAGTAAGGAGTGCGTGTCAGTTCAGTAGTGTACCTAATTTTGTGATGATCAAAATAAGTGACTGAGGCAAGAAGTGATTTTATGATCCACATATGAAATTCCTCTTGTGTCATTTTGGATGCCTGATTTTGGTTGGTGTCTGTTTCTAGGGGGCCGGTGCTCTTCTTGGGGGGTATGTTTTCTATTCAGTTCTTCATATTTCCTGAGTTCCTTTGCTGATTTCTTCCCATGTCGATCAGTTGTTGTTTCCTTCCTTTAGGTTTTTGTTTGAGTATTGACACGCCTTGTTTAGTTTCTGAGCCGGTAGGTGGTGTCTCTGGGTGAGATTTGACCATTCCCTGTATAATGAGTCGGTAGGTGCCACGAAAAGGGTGTGCAGGATGCCCTCCCTGTCAATAGGTGGCGCTTGCCTGGGAGGAACAGGCTACGCTGTTGTTTCTGTGTCCTGTTATCAGCTCTTGTTCCTGTAGAGAGGCACTCTAGTGCCTCAGGTGGTGGGTGGGCCCTGGGACCTCCAGGTGTGTCCTTTTCTCCCCCTCAGTGAGGGCTGTTCTAGGAGAGAGTCTGGGCGGAGCTGGGTTGGGTAAGCCTGCCCTTTGGCACCACCAATGTCGTTAGCAGGGGTCAAAGTTCTGTTCTCTGCTTCCAGGGAAAGCTGTCAGGGAGGGGCTGGAATGGCCCTGCTCAGCCAGAAAATTTGCGTGTGGGGGTGGGGCTGTCTGAGACCCGCAGTCTGGAGCGGGCCTTGCTTCTTTCCACAGTCCCCAACTCCGCGGCTACTCCTGGGGCTCTGCCAGCAGGCCAGACCACACGCCACCAGGCCTCCCTGGACTGTGATGCTGGCAGGGAGGTTCCCTACGCAGGAAAGCCACCTGGGCTGGGCCCATGGCCTCCTTTTGGCAGGGGGGTTGCCCTCTAGGATGCTGATCTGCCCCTGAAGGCACACACACCTCAGTAGGCTGTTCATGTATATCCCTTCTGTGTCCCAGGCAATGCAAGACCTGGGTGCACGGGATCTGATCTACAGGTCTGACCTGTGGGCCCCAGATTTCAACTATATCCCCACCAGGGAGAGGAGTGCCAGTCCCAATTCACCCACAGGGAGCCCAAGCTGGGTCTATGTCTCTCAGCCTCAGGGTCTGCCCCATTCTCCTGGGATCACCATGCCAGCAGCACCTGGAAAGGCTGGCGGGTAGGGAGCTCACAGTCTGAGTTCCCCCTAGTCAGCTGTAGGGCCCCAAAAGGGAAGGTCCCGTTCCCTGTAGGTGCCTCTGGCTGGTGGCTGTATTGTCTCTCTGGGCAGCCGCGGGTAGGGTCGGTGGAGGGGAGAAGAAGGCAATATGGCGCCTGCCGCTCAGCTCGGGTCTGTGCACATGGAGGTGCCTGAGGGAGTTGGGAGCCTGGTACCGCGTCCGCTACTGGCTTACTGCTCACTGGCAGCGGCCGTCTCTGGGCTGGTGTCCGCAGGTCTCTCCACCTGCTGTGGAGCCCACCAGCAGTTCTAGATGCAGGGGAGGGGAAACGGCAGATCCCCTACCCTTCTCCCTGGTCTCCAGGCTGCTCTGGCGGTCCCAGCCTCCAGCTCTCCTCCACGACCTCCTCCTATGGAGTCTCCCGTGGTCTCAGGTACCCCTCCTTCTGGCCCTCGTCCAATGTAGGCTCGTCTTCTTGCTTCTTTCTTCTATTTCTGCTAGAATTTGTCTTTTCTGCAAAGACACTCTGTCTGGCAGTGTTTCTTGTCCACCATCTTGATTCAATCCTCCCCTCTTTCATTTCTGATTTTAGTTATTGAGTCTTTTTTATTTTTTTACTTCATTAATTTAGCTATAGATTTGTCGATGTTGTTGATCTTTTCAAAGAACCAGTTCTTGGCTTTGTTAATTTTTTCTATTAATTTTTTATTCTCTATTTTGTTTATCTCTGCTCTGATCTTTTTTTTTTTGCTTGCTTTGGGTTTAGTTTGTTCTTCTTTTTCTAGTTCCTTAAGGTGTAAAGTTAGGTTGTTGATTTGAGATCTTTCTTTTTTGATGTTGTGTTAATAATTTTACTCTTGGTGCTGCTTTCACTGCATTTCATGAATTTTGGCATGTTGTATCTTCATTTTTATTAGTCTCATATATTTTCTCATTTCCATAGTGATTTGTTCTTTGACCCATTGGTTGTTCATGAATATGTTATTTGATTTCCACATATTTGTAGATTTCTCTGGTTTTTCTTCTGCTATTGATTCCATCTGCTTTGATCAAAAAATACTTTGTATGATTTCAATCTTTTTATTTATTTATTTTTGAGATAGAGTCTCACTTTGTTGCCCAGGCTAGAGTGAGTGCCATGGCATCAGCCTAGCTCACAGCAACCTCAGACTCCTGGGCTCAAGGAATCCTTCTGCCTCAGCCTCCCGAGTAACTGGGACTACAGGCATGCGCCACCATGCCCGGCTACTTTTTTCTATATACATTAGTTGGCCAATTAATTTCTTTTTATTTATAGTAGAGATAGGGTCTCACTCTTGCTCAGGCTGGTTTCAAACTCCTGACCTTGAGCAATCCCGCCCGCCTCAGCCTCCCAGAGTGCTAGGATTACAGGCGTGAGCCACCGCGCCCGGCCAATTTCAATCTTTTAAAATTATTAAAACTTGTTTTGTGGCCTAACATATGGTCTATCCTAGAGAACGATGCATATGCACTTAAGAAAAATGTGTATTCTTCTATTGTTGATTGGAGTGTTCTGTATATGTCTGATAGGTCCAATGGTCTATAGTGTCATTCAAATCCTCTATTTCCTTGTTCCTCTTCTGCCCTGCTGTCCTGTCAAGTTGGTGGTATTATTTTTCTTCTATAGACAAGGCATGGAGAGAGGCAAAGAGGCATAAAGTAGCTTGCTCAAGTTCATAGCTGGTAACTGGCAGAATTAGGCCTCAATTTAAGGTCTGGGTTCCCCAAAGGCCATGCCCTA